CTGGGGTGGGGAAATGGGTGGGGCCAGGGCCCGTGGAGGGTCCTCTTTTTTTATTTGCTAAATATGGTAACCCTATGTTTGCAGCTGGGATTTGAGGGGGGATGTGGACAGTCGGGGGGGGCAGAGAGGTTCGGGGAGTCTGGCTGCCCCACACAGCAGGAGATGTAGAGGAGGCAGTTTGTGACCCCGCAGTGGGGAGGTCATATGGGGAGCTCGGCGGAGGGAGGGAGAAGGCATGGACGGAGCGAAGGAGTGGGAACTGGAGGGCTCCGTGGTTCCAGGAAGGTCGGGATGCCGGCGTCCAGCCGCAGTGCGGGGAGGCTGGAGGGAAGGAACGGGGCAGGGTACGACTGCACCGCATGCTCTCGGGAAGCCAATGGAGGTTCTGGACAGCAATGGGCATCGGGCCCTGGGTCTCCTGGCTTATCCAGAGGCCGCGGCGAAGAGGCCGTGAGTTGGAGTCACACTGGGAAGAAAGAGCCCAGTTGTAGCCTGGCTAAAGGAGACAAGAGGGCCCCTCTCCTGGCAGATCTCAGGTACAAGGAGAACGTGGAGGACCTAGAGCACATGACGCTGCACAGCCCAGACAGGGGTGCTGTGGGCAGGGCCACCCGGGGGGGGGGGGGAGGTCAAGTGGGGCAATTTGCCCCAGGCCACGAGTCCTGGCCGAGAATCCCTTTCCTGGTGTTAGCCAAATGGGCTCTGTCATAACTATAAAGGGAAGGGTAACAGCTCTCCTGTGTACAGTGCCATAAAATCCCTCCTGGCCAGAGACTCCAAAATCCTTTTACCTGTAAAGGGTTAAGAAGCTCAGGTAACCTGGCTGGCACATGACCCAAAGGACCAATAAGGGGACAAGATACTTTCAAATCTTGGGGGGGAAGGCTTTTGTTTGTGCTCTTTGTTTGGGAGTTCGTTTGCTCTTGGGACTGAGAGGGACCAGACATCAATCCAGGTTCTCCACATCTTTCTAAACAAGTCTCTCCTATTTCAAACTTGTAAGTAAATAGCCAGGCAAGGCGTCTTAGTTTTACTTTGTTTTCTCAACTTGTAAATGTACCTTTTACTAAAGTGTTTATCTTTGTTTGCTGTACTTTGAACCTAAGACTAGAGGGGAGTTCTCTGAGCTCTTTAAGTTTGATTATCCTGTAAAGTTATTTTCCATCCTGATTTTACAGAGATGATTTTTACCTTTTTCTTTAATTAAAAGCCTTCTTTTTAAGAACCTGATTGATTTTTCCTTGTTTTTACATCCAAGGGGGTTGGAT